ATTGCTACACGTAACTTAGTTTATGCAGAGTCATTGCTACATTTAACTTAGTTTAGGCAGAGTCATTGCTCCATTTAACTTAGTTTAGACAGAGTCATTGCTACATGTAACTTAGTTTAGGCAGAGTCATTGCTACATTTGATTTAGTTTAGGCAGAATCATTGCTACATGTAACTTAGTATAGGCAGAGTCATTGCTCCATTTAACTTAGTTTAGACAGAGTCATTGCTACATGTAACTTAGTTTAGGCAGAGTCATTGCTACATTTGATTTAGTATAGGCAGAGTTATTGCTACATGTAACTTAGTATAGGCAGAGTCATTGCTACATTTAACTTGGTTTAGGTAGAGTCGTTGCTACATTGATTTTAGTTTAACTTTTATCTGCATATCACCTCCGCCTGGCATTAGTTTTCATCTTCAGCTCTGAGGGATTTTCATGGATGTTCATGAATTGTTCCGAGAGGTTCTTCGCTGATTCTTCATAGTAGTCGTGTCTGAATTCCAGTTTCGGCGCGCGCTTTAAGTTGATTTGCTTTTGCACCTGGTCGAAAAAAAAGGGTAGAGGTTAGGCAACGTGAGATACCAACAGTGACCGACTGGAACAAATCCCAAAATATAACACGCATAGCTTAGTGTAGCTCGGGACAGGTGCATAGCGGCTCGATTCAAAATCTACAAGGCCGGTAACAAGTCCCAAAATAGAACACTCATAGCTTAGTGTAGCTCTGGGCAGGTGCATAGCGGTCCAATTCAAAATCTACAAGGCCGGTAACAAGTCCTAAATTAAAACACTCATAGCTTAGTGTAGCTCGGGAAAGGTTCATGGCACTGTGTGAATGTCTTCAATGCCCAACTAACTGTCGACATTCACATACTTTGTAGCGCAGCTGTTTCGTCAAGGCCTTCAACTGCTTGTCCACATAGTGATCCTGCGCAAAGGGTGCCATGATAGATACTATCTGAGTGAGTCACAATTCCAAGAAAACTATATATATATATAATATATATGTATACCAAATTATGATATGCAGATCATCACTGTCTGCGGGTAAGCCATGCCCATCACTTAAAACAATGCACCGGAGAGTACTCCCGAGATAGCAAGACCGCTAAAAACATGTACAACATATACTTCAGCATACAGTACACCCTATAAGATTGCGCCGATTATGTTTCAAAACAAACCAATCCATATACAATAGACTACAGTACACGTTTCACCCCAAACCTAGGTGCGTTGTTGTACTGCGGCATACACATTCATTCACAACACAATACTTCAGATTGCAGTACACTTTTCTCCCCTCCATGAGAAAGTGAAAAATTACCGAGGTGGACACATTGAACCATTAGTTTGCTCCACAAGTCCCAGCGGACGTCTGTCCCGTGCCACCACCTACCGACTCTTGACCCATATTCCGCCAGTAGCATATCGCATGGTAGTCCGCCACCTCAACGTGTGAAATGTCTATCCCCAGGTGTCCCAATAGCGGGTTGGTCTCCACATCCGTTACAATAGTCTCGTTAATGGCCTTGTAGATCATCCCACTCAGGCGCGTGTTGCGCACCTCCGAGTTCTTGAACTTGCCCTTCATGCCCTTTTTGGGGTCCGCCAGGCCCATAAAGGCGATGTCGTTCCGCACATCCCCTATGCCAGCATCCTGGTCCAGCCACAGCCCCTGGGCGTCCATTCCTAGGCCAAATTTGTGGTGTCCTGCCCTGGCCTTGTCCAGTTTAAAGGGCTCGTCAATGACTATGTCTTTGTTGTACTTGTCCCTCTTCTCCGTCAGGATTTTCTCGCGCTCGAATCGGCTGTACAGCTAACACGTGTTAAATAAGTGCACAAGGGGGTGATAACATGTCTTAGTAGTCATTCGAGAGATAACGTGATGAAGTAAACAAACGCTCTATGTGCATCGTTCTATCCGCGACTCCAACGGATATATATATATATATTTAAATATATATACATTTACATACACATATACATAAACATATATAGATATACATAAACATATATATATATATATATATATATATATACACACATATATATAATATATATACATATTATATATATATATATATATTACTACCTGCAAGTGTACTAACAACTGAGATGGGTTAATGCTAATATACACATACATACATACATACATACATAAATACTTACATGCATGCATACATACATACATACATACATACATACATACATACTTATATAATAATATAATAATATGTACATAATATAAATAACACACACACACACATACATAGATATATATATATATATAATAATATATACATATACATATACATATATATAATGTGAGAAGTCGAAGTCATTCACAGGTCATCTGCAATGCCAAACACACCTTCTTCGACTTCTTAGTGGCACGCCCCAGATCGTCGCGCATTGAGGACAGTTTATTGTCCAGGTGTGGGTATTTGCCCGGTTTAAAGCGCTGCAAGTACTTGTACTTGTCCTCTGGTTCATTGTCATCCACCTCAATATCGTTTTTGGCCTCGTCCTTGTCCCGAGTGGCTCTCAACTGCTTCGCCGCGTGCGCGAATTTATGTCTCTGTGTGGGTGAGGTTACCAGCAGATACACGTTTAATTCGGGAATAGGTCAATTATAGGCTAGGAGTTGGCTTTATAGGTGTGAACAATATTCAACCGGAATTTTGGATCGGCAAACAGCGTCTACGAAGCCAATATCGAATGTTAAATAGGCTGGCTCGTTAGCCAAAACACACACACACACACACACACACATATATATATCACATGCTTTGCCACCGTAAACTGGGGCTCTAGGTGTGGCAAGAAGTGGCGCTAGCATGCCCCTTGGGTTGCCTAGCACATAAGCGCTTAGGATTACCTGGCGAATACATGAATAGGGTTGCCTAGCACATGAACGCGTAGGATTACCTAGCGCATACATGCTTAGGGTTGCCTAGCACATACATGTTTAGGATTACCTAGCGCATACATGAATAGGGTTGCCTAGCATATACATGTTTAGGGTTGCCTAGCACATACATGCTTATGATTACCTAGCGCATACATGAATAGGGTTGCCTAGAATATACTTGCTTAGGGTTGCCTAGCACAAACATGCATAGGGTTGCCTAGCACAAACATGCTTAGGGTTGCCTAGTACATACATGGTATTCGTCGATCCCCTCATCATCGGACGAGTCCAGCTCAAAGCGGTTGGTCTCTATATACAAGGCTTCGTCAATGTCTTCGTCTGTGGGTTTGGCATTTGGATCCCACTGCAGAGGCGAGTGAGCAGCCACACACATTAGTACAACGACACACAGCCTTGTTAAAGTTAAACGCAATGAACGGTTAAACGGATAACGCTACGCTCATGCATTCCTGCGTACCAATCTCATTTTCTGCCGGTACTGAAGTGGCCGTTCGCGAACGTTTATATACGCATTCTAGAACGACGCAAACTTCCTCTCGATTGTTGAGACCGAACATTTGTAACACCAGATGCTGCACACATCATTCGCGGGCATAGACATACACGCATGAACACCAAGAACCCAAAGCAGTACAGAACTTTCTTGAACATTCACATACGTTTTATAATTCTACACAAAAAATACTTCCCGTGCATCCAGACCAAGAGCGCAAAGCAGTACATAACTTTCTTGACCATTCACATACGTTTTATAGTTCTACAAACGTATCACTTCCCATGCATCCAGACCAAGAACACAAAGCAGTATAGAACTTTCCTGAACATTCACATACGTTTTCTGGTGGGGGACTCTTCTTCTTACCCGGCCGCTGCGTACCCTCGTAGCCGTCTGAATCAGATTCGGCAGATTCCGCATCACTGTCCCTGACGTCTTTGGCAAATTTCTATCGAAACGTAGAATGAGAAAGTGAACGCATTCAATATAATTGTGTGCGTTAGTTTCTGTACGCTCCAATGAATTGGAGATGAACTAACTGTGATGCATATATGTCAAGCTCGCGCCACAAGCAAATAAATGTACTGGAATTGTAACAGACACAATAGAGACTACGTAAGATGGACATATATAAATTTGAAGCTCAATGTATAGCTCTATTTGAAACTAAATATGCACATATACAAATACATATATATACATACTTGCATACATACATACATACACACATACACACACATATATATATGTATACATATACATA